AATCACAATGAAATGAAAAAGATTACGTAACTACATCTATTGAACATATCATATTTGCTCTGTAAGTGAGACATCTAACCAACTTTCTTTTGTAGCGGATAGGTGTAAAACTTTTATTAATCTTCATATAAAATGCCTTGACAAGTAAATATGTTATAACAACACATATAAGCGAACAATATTGTTTTCGATTAGATCGTCATCAGGCTTTACTCTAATATACATGAATATTTATATGAAAATGTTAAACCAATCAAGGCAATTTGAGTGATAATTACAATGAAATGAAAAAGATTACGTAACTACATCTAATAGGCAAAAGTTCAAGTGGATAATAGGAAAACAGGTGTACTGATAGTAGTAAGAAAATTTGTAAAATATGATAACTAAAGTAGGTCAAGGGTGGATGAATAGAATTCAAATAATGGTCAAAAACGTCAAAAACATTACGTAATAAGCAAATGTGTAAAAATAAAATAAAAAAAAGCCATGGGCTCACCTCTAGGCCCGATTCTAGCTGATCTTTTTCTAGCTAAGCTAGAAAATGGACCACTCAACGAAGTTATTCAAAAACTTGATCTATATTGCCGTTATGTCGATGACACATTCATCATTGTAGATCAGGACACCAGGAAAGAAAAACTTTTAGAACAATTCAACAATGTACACCCGGCAATCACGTTCACTGGTGAAGAAGAATATGATGAAAAACTGTCTTTCCTTGACATCACATTAAGTAGGCGAAAGGATGGTTCACTAAGTAGAAGCGTGTATCGAAAAAATCCCAGTGCTTGCCAATTCACTCACTTTTGTAGTTTTACACCTATCCGCTACAAAAGAAATTTGGTTAGATGTCTCACTTACAGAGCAAATATGATATGTTCAATGGATACTGTAAGTCAGGAGCTGGAATTAATCAACGGCTCACTAACTGAGATTGGTTATCCCAGCGCATTCATAAAGAAGTATATGTCTGCCGTAAAAAAGAAGTCGGTGGTTTCGACTGCCCAAAAGAAGCCTTTGTTTATGAAGCTACAATTCAACGGAGATGTGGCCTGCGATACTCTGCAGGACAGATTAAGAAGAGTAATTAACAGAACATTCAACGCTGCAAAACTTGCATTGACTTTCTCCAGTCGACCTGCGATGTCTACTCGAACGAAAGATAAGTTACCTGAGCTGGCCTCCTCTTGTGCATTTACAAATTCAGCTGCTCCTGTGGAGATAGCTATATCGGGCGCACTTCCAGGCAACTTAACCAACGAATGAGTGAACATCTCCCAGCATGGTTTAAGAAGGGTCAGTCAAAAACAATACGCAGTTCTATCTTAGCACACCTGGTAGATAGTGGTCACATTGTAGATAAATCTAGATCTTTTCGGGTGATCTATCGTATACCTCAATCATTTTACAACGGAGTTCGATCCAATCTCCTACACATTGCAGAAGCCATAGGAATACGTACATTCAACCCTAATTTATGTGTTCAGAAGAAATTCGTCACACCCCTATCTCTTCCGTGGCCGGATATGACGTAACTAATGATTGAGATATTTTTATTATTTTTTGATTTTTTTTTCATTTTATTTTTACACATTTGCTTATTACGTAATGTTTTTGACGTTTTTGACCATTATTTGAATTCTATTCATCCACCCTTGACCTACTTTAGTTATCATATTTTACAAATTTTCTTACTACTATCAGTACACCTGTTTTCCTATTATCCACTTGAACTTTTGCCTATTAGATGTAGTTACGTAATCTTTTTCATTTCATTGTGATTATCACTCAAATTGCCTTGATTGGTTTAACATTTTCATATAAATATTCATGTATATTAGAGTAAAGCCTGATGACGATCTAATCGAAAACAATATTGTTCGCTTATATGTGTTGTTATAACATATTTACTTGTCAAGGCATTTTATATGAAGATTAATAAAAGTTTTACACCTATCCGCTACAAAAGAAAGTTGGTTAGATGTCTCACTTACAGAGCAAATATGATATGTTCAATAGATGTAGTTACGTAATCTTTTTCATTTCATTGTGATTATCACTCAAATTGCCTTGATTGGTTTAACATTTTCATATAAATATTCATGTATATTAGAGTAAAGCCTGATGACGATCTAATCGAAAACAATATTGTTCGCTTATATGTGTTGTTCTAATTTTCACAATGGGAATCTTTAAAATTCTTAAATGATTAATAAAAGGTCAATCAAATAAAAGTTCAAATAGACATAGGGTGATAATTGTAAATAAAGGAGAGAGAAAATTAACGTAATATGAAAAGAGTAAGAAGGGGTAGAAAAATTGTCACATTACCCTAGGCTTAAAGATTACCAAGGTAAATTCAAGGTTATGACAAATTGTTTCTGCACACAAAAGGGAGATTTTAATTTTCTAATAGCCAAGGCCTCCATAAACCTCAAAATTCGTCCTTCAACATTTCTATACAATGTTTTGAAGGCTGTCTTGCTGTCAATCTTATGCCCTGTCTCAATTATGTGTTTGGCGATCGATGAACATGGTTTTCTATTTGCAACGTTAATCGGCTCATCTGACGTTAACTGATTTTGAAGCCACTTAGGTACATGTTCCACAACCCTTGATTGCAAAGTCCGATTACTCCTCCCTACGTGGACTGGACGGTACCTAAATTTCAGCAGTTTTTGTCCACTGCAATATAAGCGAGGTTTGGTAAAATGCCTCTTCAATAGGGCACAAAGGATTTGCACCACGGATACATTTGAAGATGATGCAAAATGCTTAACTGAAGCATTGATTTCCAAATGGCTATCCGCTAAAGTTCATCAATAGATGTAGAGATCAGATAACACAAAAGCAAGTTTTTGATTCTGCTGAGAAGAAAAAGGTTTATATAACTTCACCATTTAGAGGTGAAGCAAATGGTCTAATAATAAGACAGAGACTAAAAGCAGCCATAGAGAAAACATACAACGCTGCTAAACTGATTATCATTGAAAAGACCAAGTCCATGATTTCGCATATACCTAAACGTTGTTCGAATGATTACATCACATACCATTGCATTTATCAATTTACACGTTTGTGTGGACACACATACATCGTGTAGTTATTTCCTGTATCATAAATTTACTTTGGGGTTATATTTAGTAATTTACCTTTCTAATTACTATAAAATTCATTTCACTCATTAACACGCTGCCTAAATACAGATCGTCATTATCGTTTAAAGAATACTGTCGTTCTGTACCAAGAATAAAAGTGATGCAGCATACCTATTACTCAATTGTTTGAAGTGTTACCAGACATGAATGAGAGCACAAAACTAGCGTTAATCCGAATTTAGTTATCTATTGTTTTTCACCAGCAATTAGATATCGTCTTGAGAGAGATGAAGTTTATCCTAGTTATCTGAACTGCCTTCAAATTTACTTGTGGATTTAATTATTACATGATTTTCAGACCTGAATTTCTTCACAGTACTGTCATTTTGTTTTGTGTGGTGTATTTATTAGTTGTCATTGTGCTAAGTTCCGATTTTTGTGTCACAAGTAATATAACTAATGGATTCAAGTTATTGTTATTATTGCATTTCCGGTTTTAACTCATTACTTGCTGTGACCTATGATTAAAAGTCCTGCGATATTATTCAGATGTTTTTGATACATCATAATGAAGAAACAGTTAAAAACACATCACGGATTTCAATATACGAAACATAACATGAATATTTCTTAGAAACGAAATACCCTTTATAGTGATAGATAACTACAAAAATAAAATGAGACATTCGTAGACTGATATATGAGAGTATTGCGGTAATAACGGGCCAATAGTGGGAAAGTTTTAGTTTTCGGAATTAGTTTACGGAGTATTATATGTAACTGATTGTAGACATCAACACCATTTGATGAGAAGCAATGGTCTTTAGCTTAAACGTCCTCAAGTCGAACAGGTCCTGGATCCAGGAAGTGGAGTCGTCAAGGCACACCAGTGATGAACCCCTATCTAAGACGGTTGCCCCGTTTATCCAGATATCCAATGATGGTCTAGTTTAGATTTGCACTATGAAATATCCATAAACTACATAAAGTCATCTCTACCTATTGAATAATTATTAAGTAAATCGGTTATTATGTTTTTATACTCATACTGTAAAACTGTTGACTACTGCTATACTGTTAAATAAATATTAACAACTGGATTTGTTTTTCTTCCTATCTGGGCTTGTGTGTGCGCGAACCAGGATTTCTCGTTCGACGTTTGATGATTTGAGTATTTAAAAAGGAAAGATTTTTACGAAATTAAGATCATGATAGTTGTAAACGTTTTTTCCGAACACATAATCCTGGATTTTATAGATATGATGTTCGTCTTCTTAGCATTGCTAAAGCAATTACAATTCATCTGGGAAAATCAGCATTATATGTACAGAGAAATTTATGCACATGATCTTTCGAGTTCTTAAGATATAATGAACACCCGGATTGACTATCGGGCTAGAGGAAGACGTGGGTTCTAAGCCAATAGGAGTTCAGATTATCGCGCCCACACCTCAAGTTGATGGTCTACAGACGTGAAAAGCATTCTTCAGGTAAGTGGTTAAATTGGTGAAGGAAACAAACTGCATATATGTTTATAATCCGGATCCTGATAAATGAATCTGGTTTAGTGATCCAAGAAGAAGCATATCCGAGGACTGAAGGATTGCAATAATAATAATCAACAGCTATCACGAGCAGAAACATCCATCCGCTCAATAATCACAGACCACTTAGATCATCTCCATACATCATCCATGGTGAATGAAATGTGAGATGCAAGACTTGGTGTTACTGATTTCCATTAAGGGATAAATTGAGGAGACCCATGTCTAAAAGTTTCATTACACTTGTTTAATATTATTTATCTAACCAAATTTCTTTGGTTAGTAGAGAACTGTGATGAAAAATATCATTTCTCCAAATTGCCCTGATCTACTTGATATAAGATGAAAATAAAAATATTTGAACCGATTTGTATTTTAGACTAAACAATTGACAAATCAGTGTTCATTCTCATGATATCTGATAAATTTCAAATCACATAAATTGCTCAGACGGAACGTCATAAACACAGAATTTGAATGTAAATCCATCCTCCGTGAAAGTATCTGTTGGTATATCAGGTAAACTAAACAATAAAAGAAAGAAGTAAACTTGTTAAGATGTCAGAATATTTTAAAAAGACGTGAGATATCCAGGCAGATATTTTTGAAATAATCACTTCAATTTTATTGAATGGCATTCATAACCGAATTCCCTAAAACTCTTTAGGGCCTGAATAATATGGTGATAATAATTAACGGCCAGTATTTTGAACGACTGTTACGAACGCTTCCATAGTTGCTGTCCACATTTTACGACAGTTACTTAGATCGATCCTTCCTGTAAACTCAATAAAACTATGTGCATCTTTTTATCGGGTAACTGAGCCAGGTGAAAAGAATCCAAAAAGTGGATGGATTACATTATTTTATTAAAGCATTTTTCTTATTCTAGCAATATATATTGTGAGAAGTGGTTGAATATTTCTCGGACTTCAAATGCAATAACTATGAAATATCCAGTTACGAATAAGCCAATAATTCCATTCACTTTCCATAAAGTAAACATCCTCATAAGTGTCGAAGAGTTTAAATACTTACTCAATTTTTTTCAGTTTTTCCCAGTCAATTTTTGGAAAATACGTATCGCAATCAACCTCAGTTAGTATGTGAGTACAATAGATACGAACAGGGTATATGGATTGTTTTAAGACTTCCTGAATTAAAAAAAAATTAGAACAGCAACCAAAGTGAATATGTCAAATTCATTTATATACAATGATTTTGCCTGTATAAAAGATTTCACAAACTGACCTTGGTTACTGTTTTGACTAGTCGTGAGAAGAAAAAAATATATATATGGTTTCTTTAAGTGTTCAGTGGCATACAAAATCCCTAATGATTAACTGTTGCAAGTATGGAAGATCATATTCAAAAGGACCCAATGAAATGCTACTTACCCCCTAAAACAACGTTTTCAGATAGGCATATTTATCAAAACTGATAGATTTTCATACTCCTTCAAAATAAGATGAGATCATTAGGTCTTTCTTTGCTTAATTCGTGCTCTCTATGCTTTATCGTTTTACTATCATAGATTCTTTATACTCCTATTTCTTTGTTGTGCATCTTGCCAACTTTTAATCAAAGATACCAGTTTTCAACAATGGAAAAAGATAAAAACAAATGAATAATGATAGTGTAGTCAGTAGAAAATTATAAGTGGAATAATGTATTTAATGATGAATAGACGACATCTAAGATGCAGTCGATTTTTCCAGCCATTTGGTCTAGGGGTTTAAACTGATCGATAGCAAAGGAGATGATAAATCTTAAGAACCAATGCAACAAAAATTTACTAAGTCCATACTCTCTATATTGTTAGTTTGTCCAGAATAAATGGAAAATCTTTCAAGGATACATATTGGTACATAAAATCTGACTCACTTTGTAAAGACAATACCCACCAATAATAAAAACCTGATCGACTATTGAGCTGAATTCTTCATTATACAGCAAGTTAATGGCTGCATTGAGAGTGGGAACAACCTGAACACCTGGTATTCTTAAAAAATTAGTAAATTATGAATATGAATTACTGTGATAGAGTGCTAGATACCACTATGTTAATTCTGTCCTTTAATGGTTTGAAGCGCTCAGGTATAGATTCCCATGTAACTCTCCCCATAACAACCGCATTTTTGAGGCCTGGAGTTAATTTCAGACTGAACATCTTACCTGACTGAGCCTTAGTTGTTATTGTCTTGAAAAATGCCATATCTCTCCTGAAAAACAAGTAATATTCCTGTTAAGTTAATGTAGCATTTCGACCATATAATGCTAACAATTACGACAGCTAAGAGTGAATAAATAAACGCGATTACGCAATATATTAACAAGACTTTTCGTGCGATCACCCGTTTATTTTACAATTCTAGGAAATCCTATTTTTTACTTTATTGATCAGTAACATACAAACTACACTGAACGGATAATAAAAACATGAAAGTTATTTATCGTGAAAAGTTCATGCAATCTTCTTTGATTTATACTTCTTATGTGAGGAATGTTGATACTCATCTGGAGCACAAACTAAAGTAGATGATGTATGGCTTGGATCTAAGACCTATAAATCAAAAGAAATATCCTTTAACTACTAAGTCATCGTCACTTGATAAAGATGCCACTCATTAGTGGAATACTAGTCTTTAAAGATAAATCTCTGAAATATGTGTAATTTGGTTACAGTATCGGGGCTTTACATTGACGATATCAGTGAAGTATTTATATAATGCTGACAGTAGCCCATCACACCGTATGAGACTATAGGATCAACCGAGAAGTTGGTTTACCTGGATACCTCCAAGTTTTGGTAGTACTCAAATACATCAAATCAACTGCATCTAGTTACAGTGCTTTAAAACAATAAGTACCAGGTTTGCTACATCTGGACGTTACTGTGGTTGAAAGGAGACGAGTTTATAATGTGTCAGTGAGAAGATTCGCTTTATTTTTAAGAAACATGATACATTTAAACTGAGGATCTTCATATGTTCTATGTTTGATCGTTTTTATCTTCAAAAAACTGTTCAGACTTGGTAAAAATTCTTAGTAAGTAAACGTAGGATTGAAGAACATATTTTTCAGTGTAGAATAATGGTCGTGTATCAGAGATATTTCCTTTAAATACCGAATTCGATGATTTAATCACAGTCTACGTCTGTTAAGCCAACGGCTTCTCTACTTGTGAAATTAGCTGCTTACACTCAACTTTTAAATCATGGGTTAACATTTCAAGGTAGAGTTCTATCTAGATCTAGATAGAATTCAGTTCGAACTAACCATCTAATAAGGCAGTTAAAATTTTTGAGAATTACATGTTAACCTAAAACTATTGAAAGGCTGGGTTTGGTGATTCTTGGTTTTTCCACAAATTCAGTTTTAGTTTTAGAAGATTCAAATAGTTTAAATGATTGTGGATGGAATAGAAGTTTTTGTTTAACAGGTTTTCGTATTTATTAGCCGTGGATCATCGATGCCCTCAAGTAGGAACCTAAGTATATTTAACGAGTAGGAAAATATCGGTAAATTACACTTAAATATTGTCATGAACATGTAAAGTTTTCGGTGAAGAATTCCTGGGAAGTCGCTTGGACCGACTCAACCGGTAGCGAATTACAGAATTTGACTACAAGTAAAGGGTAGAAGGTATGCCTACAGTCCATTCTGCTTTGCTGTCTTTAGTTTCAGGGTGAATCCGCTAAAGTTAGCTGTGGAACTGTGAATATGAATGTATTTTAGGGGACGTTCAGAAGAAATCAGTATGTCATAGGTTATAAGGTCACCTCTGAAACGCATCCTTTGGTGCGTGATTTATAAGGCTTGAGTTTGAGTTATCAAACTGGTTTCGTGGCTCGCACTTGGATAAATATAAGCGTATTCTTATTCTTTTGGAATGGGGAAGAAATGCTATTTCCATACTCTAAATTGGACTTCATAAAGCCATTAAGGATTTGATAGAGTGTTCTATTGTCAAACCCGCCAAAAATGAGATTAAAAGTTAACAGTGAAAGGTTTGGTCGAAAGGCATTTTTGTCACAGTTACAGTAAGACTTCAAATCATAGGAAACCAAAACTCCTGGGTCTTTTCTACTCTGGAAACTTCTAGAGGGGAGTCACCTAGGTTGCATGCATAGTCCGCAGTATGTCTTAGATGGAAAACCTCTCAATTCGCAGTGTTAAAAGCAAATTATTTGCTATTCACACCAACTTTGAAGACAAGTCAGAACCTCTCGAAGTTTAAGCGATCAGCTTAACTGCCTTATTCTCCCCAAAGTTTAGCATTGTCAGAGAAAAGTAATAACTCGGACGATGCTTGTTGAGGATGGTCGTTTGTATAAATTAGAAAGAGAAAACGTCCAAGTACTGAACCCTGAAAGACACGGCTGGGACATTCTGTAGCCTAAAAGAAATTAAAGTTAACAGTGACCTTAAAAAGTCGATTATTTGGACATGAAGTTAAGCAATTTAATAAGGGTGGCTTGACAACCGAGTTTTAGAGCTTAATGACGAAACATATATGACTGGCCTTATCCAAATCCTTTGAGAAGTTAAGGTATATCATATCAACATTCTCCTTGCGATCAAAAGTTGTTCATCTATCCACCGCAGTCTGCACGTTAGTTATGCAGCAGTGTCTCTTCCTGAAACAGTGTTAATGGCGAGAAAAGAAGTTTATGGTGATGAGCAGCTGCAGTGACCATCATATAATCTGCCTCTTTTAAAAAGTGGTGTGATTTTAGCCAGCTTCTAATCGTCTGGGACCGTGCCTTCACTTAGCGAATATGAGAACATCACACTAAGCGATGTTTCCAAGGTTGAGGCTGCTTCTTTATGTATCACAGAGTGAACAATATCCGGGCCAGAAGTGTACTTGTTTAAGTGATGCAGTTTTTGATAAACCAGACTAGAGCATACGTTCATTTCTGAGACTCCCTTGAAGTTGTAAGTGAAGCACTCGTTAGTGTGATTGTGTACAACGACCGAAATATTGAAAATTCAGATTTACCATAAGCTCTGAAGCATCACTAACGTTGTTTATTGGGCCATTAAAACCTAAAAACTGGGAAACTCATATTTTGGCTTGTAGGAGAGAGTCTGTACGATGGGAAAAGCTTTTCAGACTGAGTCAGTCAGTCACAACATAGAACTTCGTACGTAAGTACATCAGTTCATGTTGTCATACCATATTAGCACAGAGACGCAATTGTCAGTTCAAATCCCAAAGCAGTAGCGGTATTAGAAGTATTAGCGGTAAAGGACAAGATTAAGGTTCGACGATATTATTCAAGAAGTATAAATCAGTTACATAAATTTAGAAAGAGAAAGATGGAGGTGATGAGAAATTAACAGGACTGCAGTTTCATAGAACACAAAGAGTGGATGCACCTGAACCATTGTAAACGATTTCGGGCTATGTTGTTCAAGGTCTGTAATCATCGGCTACTATCGTCTCGTGGACCCTAACCATATAGTCTACACTTACCAACATGACTCAGAGCACTTGTAAGTGACTTCATGGATTCGTGCCATTTGTTGGTTTGGCTGCCCCTAGTTTTCTACCAACCTACTCCGACACCACAACACATAGCTCGATGAAGCAGTCGGATGTTGGGCGTATGTAACACATGTCTCAGCCACCTCAACCGCCGAACATTTACTACTTTATCATTTGATCTGACATTCCTACCAAGTACCCGTTTACTCAAAATAGCATTGCTTACTCGGTTGTCGTAGGATGTACGAACAATGCTTCGGAGACATATGTAATCGAAGACAAGCAACCTAAGAATATCTTTTACTGTGTCTGGTCATGCTTCGCATCCATAAAGTAGGACAGAGCGAACTGCTGCGCAGTACACTCGTTCTTTGGTTAGCAAACGGATATCTCGCCTACACTATAGGTGACGCAAGTTAGCAAAAGCCGATCGAGTCTTCTGTATCCGTGCTGAGACTTCGTCAATCAACAGACCATTAGCACTGACGAAATTCTCGAGGTAGATGAGGCGGTCAACACGCTCAAACTACTTCACTCCCTTTCACCAGTTCAGGTGCCGATGCAAACCAATCATGAAGCAACATTCTGCACTTCGAGGAGGAGAATATCACCCCAAACATGCTTACATTGTTGCCTAAGGTGGACAGAAGGCTGCATTTTGTCAGCTTCTTCACCAAATAGAACTATGTCATTGGCATATTCAGATTGAAGATAAATTTGTCGATTAGCTTGATTTGATATTGAAGCCTTTTTTAAGGCGTTTGCACATCAGTTTCTTGTTGGTTTGAGCCCTCTATAAAAACATTCGTCACAAGATTTTGTATTCAGCACTGTAGCATCTTTTAAGTTTCAGGGTTCGCAGAGTGCGACTCTTAATGACTGAGGTGCTTGTAATTTTTAAGGAACATTTGTAGTATAGACTGGTTCGTAGCACTATTCAGTATTAAATCTCAGTGAGCATTTACATGAAGCTGAGGGTGAGCTTCCCAGTCCACCTGTGGCAGATTTTCCTATAAAGCTGACACATACAGCCGTTTTAAATTCTAACGCTTGTTGTTGGTATGATGTTTTGACTTAGTTTTACCGATGAAAATCAAGCCTATGAAGGCGCGACCGCTGTTTTGAGGGGAGTCAGACGTTAGTTGTAAATCAGGAATTTTTCATTCGCGAAAATAAAGTACATGTGTGATGGTTTCTGACTGTTTTTCCACCTGGTTGCTAACTTCACATTTTAAAACAATCCTGATCATTCCATTAGGCTGAAGAATTGGGCTTCAAAAGAATCATCGCATCCAGAAAGTCATAAAATTTGATTTATGGAGGATTGACATCCCCTAAAATTAAGATGAGTTTATCTGAAATAAATAGAGCGAGATAATTCTGTCAACATACGACTATCGTACTTTACGTCAACGAGGTTCATTTCATTTCGTTTCATTTCATTTCATTTCGATATCGTTGAATGCCAGACAATTTCACTGAGCACTATACAGATTTATCAAGATTGATAAATTCTTGAGTGTACACTTAGTGTACTTCTAGTTTGGATCCTCGGTACAGTGAGTTCCCACTTCTAATTTCAGTTTTCCTGTCTCAACGGAACAAAGACATGCCGCGTATTCCCAGCTTTTTGGCTAGCGATTTGAGAAGCCTGTGTTTGAGACATTCCTATTAGACGAGTACGGGTAAAGCTGCTTACTTCACACTAATCATCAATTTTTTCGGCAAAACACGTTGTTTGTGTGTAGGCAGTTAATAATTTTGATCTGAAACGCATGAACTTCTTTCTGTTTGCCTGAATGAGCCTTATATGAATGGGGAGGCAACCTGCCTAGACAGAGTTTTCGAAATGGATGATTCCTGTCTCTTTCACATTTTTTTCTGATTATTCACAGTTTACAAGTGGAATGGCCAGCTCCAACTTGCTTTTGTGCTTAATTAGTGCATCATATAGCTTGTCCGATGCATGTGAATTGCAGTTGATGAATGGTAATAATTGGCATGCAATGCCTCAAGAATAGCAGCCACCATTCAGGCAGGATGGAAGATTATTTTAATTATCCAGAGTCTGGCATCCTCATGCTTCTTGGCTAGTAGTACAACTTGTTGGATTAATATATACTTGGCCTTCAAAGACTATTTCAAGTCACACTGCATACCTGGGGCGACGGAGAAACGGAGGCCAGTTAGCTTATGTGGTCATTATAACCACAGTGAAATATTATAAACCAATTGAAATAAAAGTTTGTGACCACGAGGATAAGACACTGAAACTAGTCGTAACGTGTAAAACGAATAGTACAAGCACTTAAACTATACAACCCGATCTCCCGATATTCAGAAGACTATCGATCTTACGGTAGCTCAAAAGTAAGCTTTGGGGAAACATTAAACGGTGTTGAGTAAACACCAGATTCTCTCAGGCTCTTTGCACAGATCATATGCGCAAAAATGACTACTAACCAGATATTTTGCACTATATAAATCTTTGAAAAGATAAAATACTGTAAAAATGTGAATAATGTTTGTAAGATTCGGATAACTCTAAGAATTAGAAATGCATATTTCAAAATAAAAACCAGCTCGAAATTCTCATCAAAGCTGTATCTTACTTCAATTTCCAAGGCAAACCGCTACATTTCCCGATACCCCAGTTATTGGAAACTGCGACAATAATATTTAGTCTCATGTTTTATCGCGAGCTTGACCTTGTTCAATATCCAATATCTTTCCAAGAGCTAGTGTAAACAAGTTTGATTTCTTCGCGCTCGATTCTTGTTCTTTCGGTACGGTTTCAGATGTTCGGTAATGTTTAATGGATGGAGGTCTAGCCACTGGATTGTCTAATTCTAGTTAGTTGGCAGTTGGTTGTTTGTGTGTCTCGGGATTTGGATGAAACGTTTGTTTCAGGGCAGTAGGGTCCTGGATACTAGCAGCCATCACATTACCAAACCGGAGATCAGTTAGTTGCAATGTGGAAAGGAATAAGGGTAATAAGGATAAATAAAATGATAATATAGGTGAGTTTTGTTTGTTAATTGGTAGTGAGGATTGTGAGAGAGGACCGAAGTGTAAGCGAGGGAGAGGAAACAGAGATAGTAGGCGAGATAGATTAATTGAGTGATCTGAGGAGATTGCAATGGTAACAACTAGCAGGTCTCAAGATATGCATCATGTACAGCTTGTCCAAGAGGGAGATGATAGCCCGTATGTGAGAATGTGATTATCATGTCTCCTCTTTAAGCAGTCCACTGAGGAGGCTGTAACTACCTCGGCTGGGAGAGCATTCCAAGTTGCGACGACTCGCAATGCGAAAAAGTGTGCACGAATCTGAGTATTTGCTCTTTGATGTGCAATCTTTTGACGATTGCCTCGAGGGGAGTAGTGGTGACGCATCGGTAAGATGCTCACATTGGGATGGTTTGGCGTGTTTAATATGGTGTACGCCATAATCAGATCACCTCTGATTCTCTTGTAGCTCAGTGGGAATTTTCCCAAGAGCTGGAGTCTATCGTCGTAGGGTTTATTTTTCAACCTTATCACCCATTTGGTTGCTCGTCTCTGCACTCGATCCAAGAGATTAATGTCTCTTTTAAGCACAGGGGGTACGATGACGTTGTGAACCTCCAAGTGTGGGCGCGCGTACGTCTTAAACAGGGTTATAAATAATTTCCGGGTGCTAGCACCAAGCTGTCTTCGCATAAAGTGAAGAGTCGCATTTACCTTGGCTGCATCCCCTACATAGTTTGGACTCGTGTGGAGGCTTTCTGTGGTTATTAAACCAAGATCGCGCTCTGAGGAGACATTAGGGAGCTGACTTCCATTGAGGGTATAGGTCATTTTCGTCATATGAGGCAGGAAATGCATGACGTGGCACTTCGGTTGGTTGAGTTTTATACCGTTTTTCACTGCCCATTTCTCAATAGATGTAAGGTCCTTTTCGATTAGACGTGCGCAGGGCACTGTGTCAAAGGCCTTTGCAAAATCGAGGAATATTACGTGTACCGGTATTGTACGGTCTAAACAGGATGTCCAGCTGTTCCATGAGATGAGGAGATTAGATGCACACGAACTGCCTTTCCGAAACCCGTGTTGAGCATCATGGTGTATTTTATTCTTTTCTATGTACTCCCTCATTTGTTAGTCCACTAGCCCTTCCATAACTCTTGATAATATTGGTAGTAGTGCGACTGGTCTGTAACACGCTGGGTCCTTTCTATCTCCTACTTTGAAGATTGGAGAGAGAGTAGCTTGTTTCCATTCAGCTGGGAATTGGTGTGAACAGATCGGATAATGGTGAACAGAGGACTTCAGCACACTGTTGCAAGACCATAAGGCGGATTTAGTCACAACCTGGTGACTTACCTGGGCGTAAGGATTTTAGTTTCCTTACTACTAGGTCAGGAGTGATACGAATGTGCCCTAAGCCGTCAGCTGGCATTGGGTCGGCGTAATACTCTGAACATGCAGGCACCTGGTTTAATCGATCAGCAAAAGTGGTGTTGAGGATCTCGGCAATTTCTAGGTTGGTGAGGTCTTCCCGTTTAGTCCTTTTAGAGAACAAAACCCTTGATTAGTAGGCTTTCTTTCCGACATGAACCTAAACAGATTTTTCGGGTTTGCCTCTATTTTGGCGGCTAGCTTGGTCTGGAAATGTCTCCCAGCTCTGCCCACTGGACTTGCATACGATGAGGTAAAAGCCTAACTATTTTCTCCAAGGGTACTAAAGAGTTCGATTCCGCAGTGTAATTTAATTGTTCCAGAGTCAGAGCTACGTTCTGCATCTTGATTGCTAAATTCGAAAATTGCTCTGGATCATTATTATCAGCATTTCCAGATCTAAACAAGTCATCCAAGGTTTCACTAGCGATTACGTGCGATTGTCCGAAAAGCTGCTCTAGAATAGCCTTAGCCCTTTTATATCCTGCGTGAGGTTCAATTATAAGACATCCCTCAATCGCACCTCTCGCCTTTCCCTTGCGATAGTGGATTAAATATAGTAGGCGCAGATTGTCATCAATAACTCTAGGTTCTATAAATGTTTCAAATTGTTTGACAGACCTAAAGTAATCACGGTGTCTGCCGTCAAGGAAGGGGAGTTATACCTTTGGCAACTCCTAGGTAACTACCGGTGTCCTAGACCTCAAATCCTTCCCAGATACCTCTAAGTCCTCGTCCAAACTTTCTTCCTTAGTACCCCCTAATGATGACTTACAACAATAAGTACTAAGCATAATATCATCCTTACTAGAGAGTGAACCCATTAAACATGAAGTATCATAAGCAACTTGCCTTGCGTTCCGGGATTCTTCATCCATCTTCGTGTTTGATTTCTTACGAGAACTCATGAGCAATTGTAATTCAACGGAAAGGAAACAATAAAGAACAAATATAAAATTTCACCGGTAAAGCTTCTTCAATTATTTTCGGCAATGAGAAATCCAAAAGGACCGAAAGATCGTCTTCCAATACTGTTTAAAAATAGTAAATGATAAGTAATCCAAAGGATCTTCTTCCAAGTATTGTTTCGAGATTGTAAGCGATAAAAATTTCAAAGGATATTCTTCCAATTATTGTTTCTGAACTGTAACGGAATTGTTACTGTTGCATTTGACCTTTAACTCGAAAAGTGCAGGCTCGTACGCGTTTCACCCAGTCCGGGACCACAAACGATAATTCTTGGAGAAAACGGTTCTATTTTTATTAAATAGGGAAATACAGACAATTACCAAAAACAATATTACACCTTCGAGTTTCCAATTACCACAATCGGTACCGTTTCTGGAAGAATTAGTGCTTCCAGCCCGTTACTGCTAGAGTATCAAATCTAAAAAAGTGGCTGTAGCCATATTAAATATCAAATTTAAACAACATATGTACAATTCAGAAGCAAAAATAAAAACTTCAATATAAGTACAAAATATAGAAATAATAACAATATACAATGATAAAATCTCAAAATGGAATCAAATCGAGTACCAACAGAAAGAATCAGTCATTTCATAACACAAATATATATACACGGAAAGATTTCCTAAAAACAAAACCTTCAAAATAGATTCTACACCCAGAGCTTCTAATGGCTGTACCAAGTTGTCTTCGTAACCAACCAGTGGGAGTTATACTGTGATTGCTGAGATTTAAAGATGGGGTATTGAAATCTCCAGCTAAGAGTATTTGATCAAACCCTAGGAGTGGCAGTTGCAGTGTTACCTCAATCAGTTTGCTTTTCTGGGCCTTAGTACCCGAAGGAGGTCAGTAGATCCCTCCAATCAAGTATTTCGTGCCATTTGAGTGGAAGCAACACCAACATGATTCTGTCACCTCAGTTGGTTGGGTGTCGTATAGTTGCTCTGCTTTAAAGTGGCTATATTTATATATCGCCAATCCACCTCCAGTTTGGTGTTCCCTATCGCTTCGGAAGAGTGTTATGTCTGGTAAGCTCACTTCTGCGTCTGCAATGTCAGGGGATAGCCATGTTTCAGTTAGGATTATGATCTTCAGATCCATCTGAGAGCACATATTCCTGATTTCTAACAGCTTACCCCTTAGTCCTCTTACGTCGCTATAGAGGCACGTGGTGGTTTGTCTCAGCACCTGGTGCACATCGGCAGCAGCAGCCGTTGTCGGATTTTCAGAAAAGTTATTCAAACAGAATCGGCCAGTTCTATGCGTTCATTTTTGCCTCCCTGCTGTTGTCTCACAGATCTAGGTCGGCTGTCGCAACATCTGATGTGATCCTCGAACTGTACCAAGCTTGTAGTGTTTCGGTCAGGTCTTCCCGGTTCCTAAATGTTACAGCCATCAGGCGTGGTAACTTGATAGACGTAAGGTGTGACGGGTGGGGCAACCTCGAAATGCAGACTGCCATCGTGCTGTGGAGGGATAGGCTACGCGATAGCCATCGCCACTGTTAATAATAATATTTATTCTCAAATGTTTACGTTACAAGAGTCATGCCAGTTTACAGGCTAGATCAAATTGTCACAAATGCTTTCACATTTACAGTAAAAGTTATCGCAGTTAAATTAAGTATAAGAGTCAGTTTCTGATAGCACATTTACACCATGTCACTGACAGAAACAGTTTAATACAGCCACATTTTCAATAGGATAGTAAAAATAAGGAAGGTGCAAGTAGGTTCCTTCGGCGGTTTGCTGAGATCAATAGTGAATTTGTTGGGAAAGGTCAGTCGGAACGCGCTTGATACGAGATGTGATCCAGACAGTCATGTACATAGGGTGCATGTTCCTTAGAGGCGCCAAAGATTTCCCACCATGAGTGGGGTTCTGAAAAGGGAGAAAAGAGAGAGAAAAAGGCAGCAGTGTGGCAAGTGTATGTGTATAACCAAAGCACTACTTAACCTGTCATGTTGAGGTAGTCAATAAAGTGGTAAGTCAAGATAAAATTCATACTGACCACTAAAATTAAAGTAAATTATGGGAATATAAGAATATAACCCACACATAAAGGAGTACAGCAAAAAGAAGGAAGAGTTGTACAGTGTCAGGTGGATAGAAGAGAAGTCGAAGTAAGAAGATGGATTTATGTACGTTGAAATCGAAAGAGTAGAGTTTGTAAAAAGAAAACATTGACGAGTAAAAGTTCTCACCGTCTGTTTTTTATTATTATTATTATTGAATGCCAACCTCTAAGTCATACTGTAAACGCCTGAGTAAGTATGTTGCGGGTGTCTCGACAGAATAGCGACCTCAGCATAGTTTTGGAAACATGAACCACAGAAGTAGCAAGCGTATAAGAGCAA